AGTAAAAAACAAGGACTTCTTGAATTCTGCATGCAAATGGATGTAAATAGAAAACACTATCCTGAGTGAGGTAAGCCAGATCCAAAAAGAGGAGCATGGGATGTACTCACTCATATTTGGTTTCTAGCCATAAACAAAGGACATTGAGCCTATAGTTAGTGATCCTAGAGAAGCTAAATAAGGAGAACCCAAAGAAAAATATATAGGCATCCTCATGAATATTAACCTTCATCAGGCGATGAAAGGAGACAGAGACCCACATTGGAGCACAGGACTGAAATCTCAAGGTCCAAATCAGGAGCAGAAGGAGAGAGAGCACGAGCAAGGAACTCAGGACCACAAGGGGTGCGCCCACACACTGAGACAGTGGGGATGTTCTATTGGGAACTCACCAAGGCCAGCTGGCCTGGGTCTGAAAACGCATGGGATAAAACCGGACTCGCTGAACATAGCGGACAATGAGGACTACTGAGAACTCAAGAACAATGGCAATGGGTTTCTGATCCTACTGCACGTACTGGCTTTGTAGGAGCCTAGGCAGTTTGGATGCTCATCTTACTAGAACTGGATGGAGGTGGAGGTTCCTTGGACTTTCCACAGGGCTGGGAACCCTGATTGCTCTTCGGGCTGAGGAGGGAGGGGGACTTGATTGGGGGAGGGGGAGGGAAATGGGAGGTGGTGGCGGGGAAGAGACAGAAATCTTTAATAAATAAATAAATTAAAAAAAAAATTAAAGCCCCCTCCTAACAATTCAAATGTTGTCTCCTTGTGGTTTTATGTTTCTTTCCCGATGGTTATGACTATGAAAACCTTTTCACGTTGTTATTGGCCATTTGTATATCTTCTTGGGAGCTATCCTGATCTTGGCCTATTTTTAAATTGGGTTGCTTGACCATTAGATATTGAGTCGTGACAGTTCTTTGTGCTGGGCGCTAACTAGGTATGAGCTTTGCAAATGTTTCCTCCTGTGCCATCACCTGTCTTTTTATCCTCGCCCCAGCATCCTATGAAACCAGCATCTTTAATTTTTATAAGTTCCTGTGGTCCACTTTTGTTTGTTGTTTCTGCTTTTGATGTCATGTTTAAGATGACTTTGCCTAACCCAAGGTTACAAAATATACTGCTATATTTTCTTCCAAGACTTTTATAGCTTAAGCTACTACATTTGAGTCTTTGCCTTATTTTATGCTCGAGGAAGGAGTCCAACGTCATCTTTAGCATGCAGCTATCCAGCTGGCCCAGTGTCATTTGTTGAAAACACTATTTCCCTCCCACTGAACATTCTTCGCACCCTTATTGAAAATCAATTGACTGCAAATGTAGGAGTTTATTTCTGGCCTCTTAATTCTCGCCCATCGATCCATGTGTCTACCTTGTGTCAGTACCACACTGTCTTAATTACTGTGGCTGGGTTTGAAATCAGGATGTATGAGTCTTCTGCTTTGGTTCGAATGTGTCCCCCAAAGACCGTATGCTGCACACTTGGGAAGTAGGTCACAATAGATATAATTAGGCTTCAAACCGTTTGACCCCGAGAGTGGACTAGTGCCGTTGCTGCAGCGTTCTGAAAAGGGCTTCTCAGATGCCAATCCTTTGGTCTTGGACTTTGCAGCTCTCAGAGGCCTAAGCCAATCCATTTTTGCTCACGACAAATTACTCCGTGCTGCTGTTCCAGGCTCAGCCAGCCTCCACCTCGATTCCCCACTTTTGATGCAGTTTTGGTTCTTCTCAGGCACTCTCATTTGCATGTGAGTAATTAGATTAACTTGTTCATTTCTGCAAAGCCAGTTGCTATTTTTATTTGGGTTGCATAGAATATGCAGAACAATTGGGAGAATATTGTCATCTTGTTATCTATTCTTCAAATGCGTGAAAAAGTGATGCCTTCTCATTTACTTAAGTTTTATATTTTTAAAATTTGAATTTATTTTATGTGGGCTGGTGTTTTACCTGCATGTATGTTTGTGCACCACATGTGTGCCTGGTGCCTTTGGAGGCCAGAAAAGAGAATTGGGTGCCCTGGAATTGGAGTTGCAGACAGTCGTGAGCCACCATGTGGGTGCTGGGAATCAAACCTGGGTTTTCTGGGAGAGCAGTCAGTGCTTTACCTACTGTGCAATCTCTCCAGCCCTTAATTAAGTTTTCTTTAATTTACTTCAACAATACGTTTATCATTTCTAAAGTATGGATTCTTCTTTTGCTGAATTTATTCCAAAATATTTTACATTTTTTTGGTACTATTATACATGATTTTTTTTTTAGTTCTTATTTTAGTTTGTCTTTTGTTTCCAAGGAGAAGGACAGTTTATTTTGCACACTGACCTTGTAACCCAAACTTGGCTGAACTCAATGTGTGTGGTGTGTGTTCCTTAGGATTTTCTTCCGCAGATAGTTACAGTTTCCTGTCCTCCTTTCCAGTGTGGATGTGTCGGTTTCTTTTTCTTGTTCTACTTTGAACATCGAACATAAAACTGAATGACGGGACCAGAGTGAACATTTTTCTTCTCTCTTGATCTTAATAGAAAGCACCAGCCCTTTACTAGTGACCACAGTATTAGCTGTGTTTTTTTGTAGTTGGCTTTTCCATAAACCAAACAAAAGTGGACACGACTCTCACTTCCAAATAAACAAGCTGAGCTGTCCCGTTTCAGAACCTTACAGAGTACCCAGTTTGAACGTATCACACTTCATTTTAACATAATCTATTGGTAAAACATTTAGATTGTTTCCTTTTCCTTCCCACAATTTACAACATAGAGGATAAATATACTTAAGTACGTGTGCTTTTTTTTTTTCCTTTTGAGACAGGGTTTCTCTGTAGCTTTGGAGCCTGTCCTGGAACTAGCTCTTGTAGACCAGGCTGTCCTTAAACTCACAGAGATTTGCCTGCCTCTTGCCGCCTGAGTGCTGGGATTAAAGGCGTGCACCACCACCGCCCAGCGCAAGTACGTGTGCTTTCAGCATTGAAACAAACTCCTAGATGTGGGGCTGGGGTATAGCTCAGTTAGCAGGGTGCTTGCCTAGCTTGCACTGTGTTTTATCATCAGTACCACAATTGGCCATGGTGCACACCTACAATCCCAGCATTGGGAGGTGGAGGGGGGAGAGTCAGAAGTTCACGACCATCCTGTACTACAAAAATCAGTCTAGTTAAGAAGAAAGAAAGAAAGAAAGAAAGAAAGAAAGAAAAGAAAAAGATTCCAAAATGTGAGGTGTACAGTTTTAGCGTTCACTAATATTTCCAGGCAACTTTCTAAAGATTGTAGTGATGTTTAAAGATATTCGTTTCTGCACATCCCAGGTTTGATTCTTATTATTTTTAAAGATTTAAAAATAGACAACATGATGCTTCTCCCATTTCTCTGCTCTTTTTCTGGTGACTGGGGATAACCTTCCTTTTCTGCTATATATCTAAAAATACATTTAAGTTTATCTTTTCTATTCTCACTTTGGTTTTTGATGATTTTTAACATAAGATAGTTTGAATTTTAGGTCAGGCATTTCTCTTTTAAAAAAAAATCATCTGCATTTCCAGGATTACTGGAAAAGTATCTTTTCAGCCAAAGCTACTCAGACATTATTAATTTTTCCTAATGTTTTCATCCTGTGCACATGAATGCTTTTCTTCTTTACTTTTAACTTTTAATTCTCTGGTCTAGTCCTAATTGTAAAAACAGATGTGAAGGTAGCAGCCTGCCTTGCTGGTCTCCTCACGGTTTGGTTGATAATTATATCCCACGTTTAACTGCATAAATAGTCTCAGTGCCTTGCCCAAACTGGCCTCAGATCCTCCGGCCTCAGCCCCCTGAGCAGCTGAGATTATAGATGCGCATCCGCCCGGCCACCTCAGACTGCTTTTCCTTGTCAAACTGGTAACATCGGTCTTAATGCCGACTTACCTGGGCCGCATGTTTGGGTTCTCTCCAACCGTATGGTTCTGTTTGGCTGGTGTTGACAAAGGCAGGCGGGTTGTCCCACGTATCCTTTTTCATAACATCCCTTCCGTGTCCTTAGCATTGATTCTGCTCTCTGCAGTGGACATCTGCCTCCTCAGAGCTCATGCCCACTGTAGCCGTCACGCAGTTTGAGTAGACTGATGCTGGCCACGGGCACAGCTGCAGCTGCCCGACCAGTAGCTCAGTCTTCTCTCTAGTTACGTCACTTTGGTCACGAGAGACACAATGAGACTTAAATGAGTTCAATAAGGGAAATTTTAGACTTTTTGTTAATGGTTGGAGAAGCAATGAAATACCCTTGTATTTTGTTGGTAGCTATATGTAACTGTGAATGGAATCTTCAGCATTTAGGATGTTTGGTGGGAGGACCATGAGTTCAAGGCCAGCATGGGCTACATAGTGGGAGACTTGTCTCAGAAAGAAAGTTCAGAGCTGCTGTCTTACTGGTATGATGTAATCAGAGCCACTGTGGTTACCTGAGGGTGAGCCTAACAGAATCAGGCCTACTAACCTCTGGCTGGAGTGGGGGAAAGGTCACCAGATTCTTCTACAGTTTCAGCCACAGACTCCCTTCTGCCTTCTACCCCAGCTGGAATCCTGCCTTTGCTGTGGGTGGTCTCCTGAGGTGGTGCTGATTATATTATACTGCTAGGGGTAGATTATATTATATGGGGTGGAGGGGGGGATCCGTGGCGAAGTGAAACTTCTCAGTAGCGTGGTTTCTGTGGACTCACCTTTTTCTGGTATTCCTAAAAGTGAACCCATAAAGCCGTTGCTTTGTCAATCAGGACTTGGAAGGAATAGTTTCTTTGGTCTGTTTTTGGTACCATCTATATGGTGAATAGGTGTTTGTTCATGTTTGCCTGGGAAATGGTGTGTGAGTGTGTGTGTGTTTGTGTGTGTGTCTGTGTGTGTACAGGTTGAAGCTGACACCTGTACATGGAGGAAGAAGAAAACCAAGATATCAAAGAGGAATAAAGGTTGAATTGTGATCAAATTATGCGACATTGTACCTGAAGCCCACATGATTTTTCTGCTTTTTAGGTTTGCAAATAAGTAAATCCTTCTCTTTGTTGAAATTTAAAGTCAGGTCATGTGATGAGGGAATGGCTGACTGGAAACATACTTACCTACCATGAGTGAGGTCCTGGGTTTAGCCCCAGCATCAGACAGACACACATATGTGTACGTGAGTACACACACACACACACACACACACACACACAATTGGGTTATTATAGAAAAAAGTCATTATAAAGAGTACACATTTGGCCTTTGTGAGAATTTTATTTCTAAAACTGTGTGTGAAAATGATCCTTTATTGTCCTCCAAACCTTCATTCTTACCACAGGCTACAAAATGATGATCTAGCGGGTGGTCTGGGGTGTGACTCAGTCAACGGAGTGTTCAATTAATGCTCACCAAACGCTGGGTTCATCCTCAGCTCCATGGAAGCCCGGTAGGGCAGCACACACCTGTGATTTTATCACTGGGGGAGGAGGTGGAAGGAGAATCAGAAGTTCAGGGCCACCCTTACCTACGTGAGTTCAAGGCCCCATGGCTACATGAAATCTTGTCTCAAAATCAGGACAAAAAAAAGCTAAAAACAATCCAGCCGTTCAGCACAATCTGATCATTTCCAAGCTCGCTCTCCTCTTAGTGCCCCCCCCCCACATGGACACACATCTGAACTTACCTCATCGCCCTGTTTCCAGTCTTCTCTTTCCTCCCTCGAAGGGTCAGCCCTATTTAAATTTTATAGGCATCTTGCTATGAGGTTTTAAATGCCTCCTCCAGTGGGAATTGCCCGTTGCAAGGTGGCAGAGACACAGATATGAATTTGAGATGATTGCCGCCCAAGAGAGCATGCTCCCAGCGGTGGGTTCAGGCTCATGAGCCCATCGTGTCAGTGAGATGGGCCGCCTGCTACCTGGCAACGAGGAAGAAGTCTAAACAATAGACTCTAAGGCTATGCTAATAAATTGTGGAGTCTAAACCCTTAAAGCTGTATTTATGCAAAGATAAACTATTGATTGGGGAAATTAAGAAAGCACATGAACTGAATGGGATCTTTTACAAACCAATTAGAGTACTTGAATAGTTATTTTCGTGTAATGTCTTTGGGATCATGAGTAATACAGGTCTCGGTAAGGGAGTTAAGTTAAATATTTTTGTACTAGCTTAATAATATTCTATAACTTGCTAGTACTCCACACTCAACCCACGTCCCTGTGCCCGCTTTGGGGTGGTGGCAGGCGGGAAAGTGGAAGCGAGATGCAGAGAACCAAGTCAGGAAGAGGAAAGCAAACCTTAAAAAGGATGCCTGATGGCCAAGCTCAGAGCAGGCTGTGAAGAGGGAGCCTTGGCTTTGCCCCCACCAGTGAGTCTCCGCCTTCTCCAGCTCCTTACACTGAAGACAGGCACTCAGTCGCTGCTTACTGAGCTAGCTGCAAACCCTACCCTCGACTCTCAAAAAGCTGAGGCTGCCTCCTGACTCATAAAGCCTGATTTTTAGCACCTGCCACAAGCTGTTTGTTTCCCCTCCCCATTCCTTTGTCCTTGAAAGATACTCACACCTCTTCTGGCTCCACAGTGACCTGTGGAGGGTGGCTGGGAAGGTAGGCACCATGCTCCAAGAATCCTAAGTGCGCTTAAGGTCTTCCCCCAACAAAAATAACAATAAACATCGATGATTGCTTTTAAAAAACAGGTTCCTGAAAATCAGTTCCCTTCCCCCCCACCCCTGCCTTGCAGTCTCAGACCCTGACTGCCACGTTTGCCGTGCAGCTCTGCCCTGTATACACACACACACACACACACACACACACACACACACACACATCAGTACCTTCCTCGCCTCGCCTGTGGCTTTTTTTTTTTTTTTTTGAAGGCACTAAAAGGAGGGCATTGAGCACCACCACCTGCAATCTCGGAAGCGGTCTTTGCAGATCCGAGCCTCTGCACTCTCCCTCGGGTGACCCCTTTCAACCAAGAACCTTTAACCTTGCAAAGGTAGGCTGACTCGTCATTTCCCTGAGTGATGCGACCTGACTTCCTCTTGGCTGTCTCCCCGCAGCAGTTTTTATCACTATGGATACAATACATGAGAAAAGCAAGCACTTTCATCTTAGGCTTGCATGATGTTTCCCACAGGTTCAGCGTGACTCCTGATTTATGGTGAATTGGCCGGATTGGGTGTAAATACATAAGCTTCACGGGGACATGATCTATAGGCCAGCCAGACCCTTGAGCACTGGGTTAGGTGGTCCCTGTAGGGTTCCAGGGAAGGGGATGACCGTACAGCCTCCTAGTAGTACACGGAGTACAGGAGGGTTCTTGTGTTGTCGGCTGGCCATATCACCTTGGGTGAGCCAGTCTCTGGCTTGCGGCTGCGAAGGGGACCTAAGACATTTTTCCAGCTCTCACGGACTACCTTTCCAGGTGGAGATTTTCCACGTCCTTCCCCAATAGAGGTGCGCAAATGAATCCTGATTGGAAATGACACCAAGAACATCAAGCTTGGTTGATGAATTCAAGCTTCCAACACTGGACAGGGAGAATGGATTCTGGTTGCCAGGCAACCAGCCTGGGCCCTTGTTGGCAGAGGGGCTCAGGTCTTTTTAGCGATAATTGGCAAGGCTCCCTGTGACCTCCTTTTGACCAGAGCTAGCCTGTGGCGCTTTAACCACACTGTCCTTGCTGGATGGAGAAACGCTCCCACTCTCCCTCAGCTCCGAAGTTGGCAGTGAACACAGAGGAACTTACTTCCCCAAGAACTCTGCTGTCCAATTTCCATCCTTTACATATGAGCTAATGTTTGAACATCTCTACTTCATGAAATTCTTACCCCATTTGCTCCTCAGAGTTTACCCTTGCCCTTGACAGAGAGGTAAAAGTCTCCTCCACCAAAGAAGGGAAATCATGAGCTGCAAATACAGATGCTTCATGGCTGACACAGTATAAGGTATCATCGTGAATGCATTTACTGTACCTAGCCTAACCAGGTACCCAAATTACAGGTTTCCCTCCATGTAGTATAGGGGTGGAGACGAGAAGGCAAAGCCGAGGTAGAGGAGCATCTCAGTCTATGAGACACTGCGCTTCTTCCAGAGGAAGCTCCACCCATCGCCAATGTGAATGGGTCTCCAACCAGTGCCTGCTCTCCTTCTTTTGGCCACGATGGGCAGGCACCAGCCCATCCCTTGGTCAGGGATGTTGCCTTTCCCCAACCTCTTTGCAAACTCCCTGTACAACAGTCCTGGGCCCTGCCACGTATCAAAGCACTCTCCAGAGGTGAGGTGTGCCTCTCGACACCCCAGGGGTAAGGTGAGATGAGAGGGCAGTCCTAGCTGATGAGAAAAGACAGCCTGCAGTCCTCCACGGAAACCACATGATACTGGAGCATGAGGCCAGCACTTTACAGACATGAACACACACACACACACACACACACACACACACACGTGCACACGCATGCAACACACATGAATGCACGTACACATGCACACACACGTGCACACACATGCAACACATGCTCGGCCCTCCCCCCGAATCTCTCTTCTTTTTACCATCCCTTTCTTCAACCTGTGATTATTTATAGCTTGTCTCCTTGTGTTTATTCTCCCCCCTCTACAATGCATTCCCCACTCAGCAGCCAGGTGGTTAAAAAACAAGCAGATCAAACAGACACACTTTTCTTAAGTGGCTCTGCTCTCTGCTGAGACACAACTCCAACACCTCCCCCTTCCTCTGCGCTGCTGTGTGGTCTGGAGCCTAGACAGGTCTTCAGTCTTAACCAGGCTGCAGCCCCATCACTGACCGTGTTCCAGCAGCCTTGGCCTTCAGCTCCAGCCCAACTCAGGCCAAACTCTTTCCTCCCCTTTTCACCAGCTGTTCTCACTGTCTGGGGAATTCTGCCCTGGGCTTTTCCCTGGGCAGACTTCCTTTGCCTTCTGTTTTCTCTCATCCCTGTGTATCTCCTTCACAGTATTCAGCACAAGCAGGAATTACAGCTGTTATACATTTCCTTTTACTTAGTTATTGCTGTTTTCTCCCACCAGAATGCAAGCTCAGTAAGATCATAAGACACCAATCTGGCTTGTGCAGGGTTTTATCCACATCTAATCCACTGTTTGGCTCATATCAGATTATTTGGCTCATATCATTGTTGATTAATGAAAGGGTGACAATGAACAATAGATATGCCAAAATTACACATTTACATGCAATTACACACATACACTAAACAACCACCCACATAGAGCTTACTGTGCCGTGTGCTTAGTTCTTTGTACTGATAACTCACTTAGTTCTTACGTGTCCCTGCTGAACAGGCAATGTAGCTATCCCTTTTCCAGACTGGTCTCGAACTCACAGAGATCTGCCTGTCTCTGCCTCCTGAGTGTTGCTCCCGAATCCTGGGATTGAAGGTGTGCGCCACCACCACCCAGTTTTAGCCCCTTTCATTGAGAAGAAAACAGGGGCACAGAATAGTTAGTGAAGTCTAAGGGCAAAGATTGGGCTAAGTAAGTGGTTGTGTTAGGATTCTAGGGCCTTTACAATGCCTTAAACAAAGACTCAATCTTCCCACAGCACTAGAGTTTGGAGGCTTCAATTTAGGGTGACAACAGTAACAACTTCAACTAGGGCCTCCCTTGTTGGTGGGCAGCTGGCTCATCTCTTCCTGTCTGTTTGCACAGTCATTTCTCTGTGCTCATGGGCCCCTGTCCTGATGGTCTCATGAGAACGCTCAGGTTTCATGAGGGTCAACCCTAGTAGCCTTATTTTAACTCAGTCACCTCTTTATGGGCCCCCGTCTCTGAACAGCTACATTCTGAGCTACTGGGATTGGGCTTTATCATATGAATTTAGGGTGATAGTTCAGCTGTAGGAGTGGAGCTGGCATCGCACCTTACCTGGCTCTCTCCAGCACCCGTGTTTGTAGCCACCATGCCATGAAAACGCTGAACATCTCATAACAGTTGGCGCGTTCTGAGTCTCCTGGCATGGGAGATGCTCTCAGCTGCCCACTCAAGACCCATCTCTGCAATTCTCCACTCT